GTTCCTGTCATGATACAATATGAACGAAAAGACGATCGCCTTATGCAAGAGTTGTCAATGTTAATTGATCTTTTAGGTAAACAATATGCATATGGTATTTGCGATAATAAATATCGAGTTTTCTGTGACATTTATGTCATTTTGCTTTTAGTATTGATGACTTCCACGAACAAAATTTAATCACTGATTATTTTATAATTTTATAATGAATGACAGGCTATAAGCAGAAAACAGAAGAGTATCACAGTGACTGTGTTACGAAAACAAAATATTTAAATGTTCGTAATTAGTGCAACACAAGACCAAGTCTAATCAAAAAGAAGCAAAAAGATCAGCACACAACGAATCACAAACATGCCCATATGGAAAAATGAGATCCAAAAGCTAAAGGCATACCGTTAAAATGCACACGACCAGCACAAACTTTTTTTGGAAGATAGGTACGATTCCAAATTAAAAGATCATAACGACAATTTTACATTTTTCAACCTCAAAACATCAGAGCTACATTTTTAAAGAGTATACAACTGTTGAACGGTATATATATATAACAGTGAAAGTTAAACACGTACGACCTTCTATGGTAGATAGTTATTTGTTAATACAAACTATAAAATCATACCTCATAAAAGCTTATTTTAACATCTGAAAAACTATAATTTTACAATTAGAACTGTTGACGCATCCGGAGCACCTGAGCTCATTCTGGGTTAGGCAGCAATACACAGTTAGAAAAAAAACTTTAAAATTGACACTCATAATTTTTAAACACCCTCTTTCCCTTCCTTTCTAACAAATAAGGCTTAATATTTGTGTTATGCATGTGTATATTTATAAAAAGAAAATCTTCCATAGATTTGATTTCTAATGGTTATAATGGTGAAATATAATCTCTTTTGGGTGTAATCATGGCAACAATCTGCATTTCTTTAATACAAAATATTGCAAAAAAAGGGGGTGAACATGTCACAAAAGTCTCCAAAATTTGGTCCAAAGGAAAATTTCAATCAATTACAGTGATACCTTTCCTGAATCCACAGACATATATCTATCAAGAGGTCTAAAAAAAATCATATGCATTTCTGCTCGTTTTTCCATAAAATTGAATTGAAAAGATCGAGCGCAAAATCTTTGTTGATAAACACTACAATAATTTATTGACCTATGGGCGGTACGGATAGGAAAATACGGACTGTCAAACAGAAAAATGGCCTATAAAACATGCTAAAAACAATCTAAATGTTCATATAAACCCACTAAGAAGGCTATATTATTCTTCAATTATCTAAAAATCAATTTTATTGTACAAAAACTTTCATATTTAAAAAATTCACCATGACCATAATGCCAAAATTAACTTCTAACTGTGTATTGCTACCTTAGGTGAGGTTCGTGTAGCTGAAATTTTGGTTTCCTGTATATTTTCCGGACTTTTCCTCGATTTGTCTTCTTTTTCGTTGGCCATCGAGACATTATTTGTATTGGTACTTTTTTACCACACTCCCCTATTCATATAAGTCAACGACATTACTCTGGTATGTAATTGCAACACCGATACAAAATCGAACCTGGACTGCATTTCAGAATTTGCAAGGATATTAAAGTTTTAATAAGGTCATACTAAACAAGCTAACTAAAGTTGTTAACTTGAAACAATGAGGTTTACCATTCTAAGAGAATCCATAGGGAATAACTCTGTACCGGTAAATGTGATAGCTGCGAAAATTGAACTTGAACTTCACTTCAAAGTATGTAGCATCATTACAATATTTCAATATCCTACCTTTAAGCATTTTAAATGTAACATTCGGAAACATCAAACACTACCATTTTGAGGTTGTTTGAAACTTATTTCTGATACGATAAGATAATTGCAACAACATTGAAAATCGAACTTCATCAGGCCGGTATGTGTGAAGTAAAAAGTTCTTCTCCAAATCAAATTAAAGTTTTCCTATATAAATCATTTGCTTCAAACGGACAGACGGACAAGAAATATAAAGTGCATAAGAGCTTGTCGTTGATGAGTACGAAGAAAATGAAGATCAGAGCATTGCACATAACATAACTTAAACTAATACAGTCGAACCTAGTTTTGTCGAACTCGGTTGTGTCGAAAACTCGGTTGAGTCGAAGTAATTTCTCAGTCTCGGTAAAATTCCCGTTTGATAATGGATTTTAACCTTTGATGAGTCGAACTTGGTTAATTCGAGTTCTCGCTTAAGTATATAACATTTACACATATCCGTAACGAATAAATGTTAGTATGCACGAACTGAGTTTCAATCATATTCTTAAAAAAACCAGATTGTGAACTGAAACGACATTTTGGTCTGACCACATCTGAAAAGTGTGAACAATGAATAATTGCCATATTCAATCTGTTATATAAAGGAATGTGTAAGGCATTTGCCTGTTTTGTTTCAAAGAAGCGAGTCCCATGACTCCAATTTTTTTTTTTTAATTTTCTGAAAGCACATACTAAGAATTATCTCCTCATATTTCAAATATGAGGCATTATTACTATGAGTTTATTCAGTGCTGTTAACCGAAAAGTATGATGTAACAGGTGTAATGTACACATGAAACGAACGAGACAGAATCCTGATGTTGCTATAATTATATTTTGCAGTGACGGACTCCGTTCGTGATAAGAGAATGAAGTACTCTGATATCAATTGATGGATGCTATTAATGGTTGCTTTCCTTCAAATTTGTCCTTCAATTGCATGTATCGAACAAATGATTTGTTTCCTCGTATCTAAATACTCATCACATCAAACTCAATCTTGTCTTGTTACTTATTTAGGTTCATTTCTTTTCCGAAATTGAATAACATTTGTATATCTAGATTAAGTTAGAAACACTGAATAAGGTAATGAAGAGAGTGATAATGAGATGGCTGATTTTTAAAAGGCAGTTTCTTCCTTAATTGATGTCGTACCAAGTCAAAATATTATCATTGACTGAGGTCAAACAGGATCAATACTCAACTGATTAAACTAAAACATACTTCTGCTTGGATAAATATCCTTTGTTTCCAGTTCAATATTTTTTTTTTAAATTTAAAACGGTAGTTTTCTATGTAGTTATGTACATCTTTTATCAGAGATGTTAATAAACTGTAAAGCGTATTGAAGGTATATCTTTCACAGTTAAAAATGTAATTGATTTGATCAATTGAAATAGGAAAATCCTCAGGAATTGATTGTGTTACTCTAACCATATACAATAAAGGTGCCAAACCATCAAAACAAATCGTCGCATCCGGTTTCAAGTAAAATTAGTTCTAAACAAATATTTCCCACATTCTTGCACTTGTGAGAAATTGGATCTGCATTTCATTACATGAGGTTTATTCTGAGTCATAACCATAATTATATCTTGAGTGTTTAAGGCTCTATTCTTTTTTTATTCTATGTTTCTATAAATCTTTTAGAAACATGTGATGACCTAGTTACTTATGCTTGTAAACATTAAAAAGGGGAGTAGAGAACTTCCAGTGAAGGTCATTTTCTTATATGCAATGAACTTTTATGCTAATTTTTTACTGCACGACTGGAAAGGATTTAACTTATCCAGATATAATTCTTTTATATTAAACAATTTGACTGGAAAGGATTCAACTTTATCCAGACATAGTTTTTTTTTAATATGAAACAAAAGGTAAATGTAGCCCCAAAAAATAGAAAAATGTAAACTCTTTCTCCCCATTTCCTATTTTGGGCTATACAAGTGGCGCTTTGGTAGGTACATCTTTAAGACATAATACAGTAATAAGTAAATGATTTGATACTTCAAGCACTAGCAACAAATTATTGATTGAAGGGAAATCATTTTTGTCCCTATCCAGAACCTACTGAAAACTCAAGTTGTATATAAAAAAAAACTTACAAAATGCCATCGAATCAGATAATAATGATAGGGAAAATTCATTCAGCTTCGGTGTCATATTACATAACTCTCATTTATTGACTTGGATGAATGGACCATAAAAGAAATATTGTATCTTATACAGCTGTTAAAATGTTGATAAAATGAGTATTTGATCAATTATTGGTCCACACTACAGTTTTTCATGATGTGGTGTTCCAGTGAAGGTTAACATTTCTCTTTACTTCGAAATTTCATTAAAAGTTATAATTCTAACATTTGAATTATTGATTTTATATTTTGAACAGTCATCAAAAGATGAAGACATACGTCTGAAAGGAGAAAAACTAAAATTCATGAAAACAATGAAAATATAGGACCTGTCATTTTTCAGCGCAATATTGTTATTGCTGTTTTTAGTAAGACACTTGATACTTAAATTTATCACGTAGTAGCTCAGTAGTAAGTACTTCGGTACATGATGTATAACAAACCTTTCTTAAATTGTTTGTTTATATTTTTTAAATTAGAAAGAAACCAGTTTCAACTCCCTTGAGCAGAGTGGACCTTAAATTGATTTGACTAATATTTAATCTCCTTTTTGGTTATATAGTTCTTTAACTGTTTCGGTTGTTATACATTCTTTTTGATAAAAATACTTTTATTCTAAGAGATTGAATGGGTTTGTGAGTTTCTATAGGTCTAGATTGGTATATATTTTAGTTGTTTCCTTGATCTTCCTCGAGTGCACCATGTTATATTTGCAAATTATATCAAATACCATGTGTGTATTTACTGTTTTAAACATGAATGCATATGTTTATTTCAAAATATTTGCACGTATTATTCACTGACATTGCCACGGCTTACCATCACAAAGAAGTACTAGAACGAATTAAAAAAAAACCGGATGTTCAAATTATTTGACTCGTTTAAATAAAAAATGCCTTGAAACACAGTAACACTTACACTTACGCAAACGTTATGAAGATTATGCCGATTGAAACCTCAAAGACTCAGGCCATTTGAATTTCTAACATGTGTTTTCTAAACTGGTAACTAATAAGATAATAACATTGTACTCAATATCATATCGAGATTTTATCAACCGTATTTGTTTATTTCAGGCGGGTCAGTTCTCAGAAGAAACGATTAGTGGTAAGCTTCTGTGTATTTAACGAATATTTAATTTGTACTGTTGATAAACATTAAGAAAGGGTAAGTTTATTTATCATTTATATGCATTTTAAACGTAAACATGTTATCGAAATGCCCTGTATTACATTGGACAACGCAACACAGTATTCACAGAAAAGAGATGAGATTTGGGACTAAATAGGTTTTATCTGGAAACTCGTAATTTGCAACTGCTTACTGAACCAGAAATGATTAACATCTATATCGCATTGTGTGTGTACATTCCACATGACAACAAACTTGCTTAAAAGTAACACTGTACGACAGCTAAATATATTATACACATGTATAATGTGAAGGTTTTTTCCACCTATATTAACTACATCGTTCATCATTGTGACTACCATTCATGTATTTTTGACAGACTGGCGAGAGTCGTTTTCATTGTTCGACAAGAACAGAGACGGCGTAATATGCTGTAGGGAATTGGGAGGTGTAATGAGGTCAATAGGTCAGACACCAACAGATGATGACGTTCAGAAAATGATTACAGACGCAGACAAGGACGGTATATGCCTTTTAACTTCTGATATTTGCTATCATTAATCATATTAATATGCCAATCACAAGATAATTACACAAAGAGAACACAAAAAGGATATCATACTGGATGTTGTTGAAGCATCATTTGTTTATAATTGCATTATCTCGAGTCTTTTACTATTATTAACAAAGCGACCTTGGTTTCTGTTCGGATAAAGATACTTCCTATATTTATGTTATTTCGTCGTAGTTATTAAAATTCTTGTGTTGGTAGCGATATCATCATTGAGCAAAACGGAAATTTCAGAATGATTAAACCATTGTTGTGAGGTCAGCCTATTACTATACCCTGGTTTCTTAAATCTGTTGCTGAAATGGACTCAACAAATTATATTTAATTGTTTCCTTTGAATTCTTAATTTCATAATTTTTGAAGTGTCTAATAAACTGATTTCTGTCCACAAATTGAATTAATTCAAAATTTATCAATTTCATTTCCCGGCACTGGGAATCGAACTCCCTCGTCGAAATCGGTTATATATTACTAATATCAAACTCGTCCACGAAACCTTTCTGCTACTAGTTGGTTGATAGTTAAATATGATATATCATTATGATTATTGTATGCTTTCTAAATATTCCATTTTATTTGAAGGAAAATAGTGGTTTATAGTTAAAGATCAATTCCAATTTATATGTCGTGAGCCTACATTTTTAAGAACATATAAGATTAATTTTAAAATATAATAAACGCCGGTTCAATAGACACATATGGCTTGCACTTTTATATTTATATATAAACAATGTTCGTTTACTGTAAGATGTTAGCCGTGGGTTTTAGATGAATGAATTGTAGAGTTAACTTTGGGAGTAAAGATTTGTTGCTTTAAGTTCGAACTTGTTTTCAATTATTGGTCCTTTTGTTTAATTTTTTCGTTTTTTTTATTTAGTTCATTATTGAAGATAATCTTGCAATGAAGACGTATTTTTCAAATTTTTTTGTTGTTGTTTTTAATAATCAGTCCGGTTTAAGGGAGATAACCCAACACATCTAGATGAACATTCATTATCTAAATTAAGGCGTCTTAGATTTTGATACCATTCTCTTGATATATTTATTGATATTCAGCTATAACCACGTGAAAACAGTAACTTCATCTTCAATTAGGAAATCGTGAATTTCATATTATAGTTCTTTTGCTTACTCTATTCCTTCAACCCTTAATAATTTAATACAAAATATTACATGACTATGGGAATATAATACTTACAATGTATTATGTCCCAGCATGATTGTAAATACACGATTTTATAATAGGTTACTGTCTGTTTACACACACGATGTAACCCGTAGTCAAATGGAAATTGACAGAAAAAAAAACAAAAATTTTAAATCAATGTAGCAAGAAGATCATAACCAATTTGAAAATAACTACATTATGTAGATCTTCTTTGTGGTAGAAGCACCTAAGGCATATCATCAGTAGATGTAGTTTACGTCTTTTTTTATAAAGCTGACCACTCTTCCGAAAAATTACACTTTCCAATAAGAATAACGGTAAATGTAAGCTATTTGAAATCACTATTAAAAATCAAATTGTAGAAAGAGTTTCAATCTTTAATTTGAATTAATTATAAATATCATTAAAAAGAAGAAACATAACGGATAACGTGATGGAAGCACCTACAAAAACCACTGAAAACAAAATTGAATATCGTCTTATAAAGATTATTTTCCATGTAATTTCTATATAATGATGTTATACATGAAGGGTATCTGAATTCACCGATGCGCAATATCAACAGACTGATTTTTGACAATGGGCCTCGAATTATGTTTTTTTTTCTTCTAGAAATTTAGTAACATACATGTATTTGTACTAAATAACTAGTTAGAATATGCTTTATTTTGTAAATAACTCAGAAAATTATTCAGATTCATAATTAGTCAATGGAAATTTCAGTACAGTATGCTGAAAGTGCATCCGATAATTACTATATGTTTTCATGTTTTAAAGCCAAAACCTTTACAAGTCTAATTGATGGTTGTTTCTTATGCATCAGTCAAGATAATTAGGGGATTATTTGAAGTCGAAGAAAATAGGATATAATTCCTGACAGAACTATAATTTTGAAAAGACGTCAAAACAATAGTCACTGTGTTATTAAAAGACACACTCATTATTGATGAGCGTTTAATAGAGCGTGGAAAAGATACTATGAACCCTCTGGGTTCATGGTATCTTTTTATTGAACCAACGTTTATCCATTATATCATTACGACATATTGCAGCACTTAAAAGTAAGGGTTGATCGAAGTTTGATTTCTAAATCATATAATCATTTTTTTTCTTCATTTATTTAAGTGGAGCAGGATCTGCCTACCCTTACGGAGCACCTGCGATCACTCCCGGTTTTTGGTGGGGTTCGTGTTGCTCAGTATTTTGTGTACAGTTGTTTGTCTTTTGGTCTTTTTCTTTTTTTGTCATGGCGTTGTCAATTTATTTTCGACTTATGGGTTTGAATGTCCATTTGGTATCTTTCTCCTCTCTTTTAAAGATTTCTAATTGTATAGCTGACCACATCACTCATATTTTTAGCTTCCCTTTAGGGATCTGTTGCTCTTATCAGAGTACATTGGTATATATCATTTATTCAGAATTTTCTTTCTTTTTTTTTTCTGACTTACATATTCATGAATTAACCTATAATATTATGTTAGTTATAATTTTCATTTTTTTTTTTATTTGCATTTGTATTGGAATGCGACTGTCATACAAGTGAGAGATTTAACTACCTATAAAACCAGGTTTAATCCATCATTTTCTACATAAGGAAATCCCTGTACGAAGTCAGGAATATGACTGTTGTTTTCCATTCGTTTGATGTGTTTGCGATTATGATTATGCCATGTGATCAGGGACTTTTCGTTTTCCATTTCCTTTGGAGATCGGTATTTTTGTTAATTTACTTTTTGTCTGTCCTTGCTTTTCTAGTTATCCAATAGATTTACCGAAATTTCCTATTGCTGATATTCCATCTATAAATCCAAAATATGTTTTTGAGTTATAACAATGATGATAAAAATATATGATGCATGCTATAAAATAATACTTCTGGACTAAATTTTGGCGTTGCACAAGTCATATCTTCTTTGACTGTCCATGGCGTTAAACACTAAATCCCTTGGATGTGTTTTAATTGATTTTGTTGTTAAATTTTTTTGGCTTTTAACTAGCTAACAGTTACTGAGAGTACTCTCAAATCGTACTTTCGTGTTAATTTGACCTGTTGACACAATTTGTAATGCATTTCTGTATTTCAATGTTTACTTATTTTATGTTATATCTCATCTGACTAATTTTAATATGTACGATCTTTGATAAGTATTTAGTATGACGATACATATTCACTTCTGTACTCGTTTAAATGACTTTTTGATCGAGTTAAGCCATTTCAATTGATATTTTATAGTTTATTTTCTTAAGGTTATGTTACACTACTGTCTCAGGTTAGGGTGAAGGTCGGTACCTGTTAAAACATTCAAACACGCTGCATTTTTATGCAACTTTCCTTAGTGAGGAACCTGTTGTTCAGTGGTTGTCGTTTGCTGGTGTGGTACATAGGTGTTTCTCGGGGTCCTTTATAGCTTGCTGTTTGATGTGAGCCAAGGCCCCGTCTTGAAGGCCGTACTTTGACATATAATTGTTAACTTTTTATACATTGTGACTTCGATGGAGAGTTGTCTCATTGGCACTCATACCACATCTTATTTATACCAATTATCTTCTTTACTTTTCAAGGTGACGACAAAAATAACCGTATTCAATTTTTAAAGTTTTCCATGAAAGTATAACATTTATGTTCCAAAATAAGTACCGGATAAGTAATGAAATTTTAAATCATCTGGTATTTTCATTCTTTTGTTTCAAAACAGTCCCCTTTATGTCTTCGCTCTTGTGCATTTAAGGTAAGCGTAGAACCTTTTTTTCATCTTTTATAACATGAAACGCAATCATGTCATCTTGTTAGATCTCCAAAATGTCCAAAATAGGGCCTGGTGTTAAGTCACCTTGTTACCTTAAAACTCTATAGTACCATATTTTTATTTTTGTAATGTTAAGATAGAAATCCTTAAACAATGGTTGCTTTCCTACAAGATAGATAACAGGAGACGTGTTGTAACCGTCAATTAGACGGTTACCAAATAACACAAAATTTCAAAACTCATCAAGAGGTCAACATGTGGTCTTCTTTTCATCATGTATATTTTCAATAAGAAAAAAAGTATATAGTCCGATACAAAACATTTCGAAATTGAAATTGCAAAAACTGTTTAACCATCTTTATCCTTCCTTGCCGATTAAATATAAAACGTATATACCAAAAATTTCGTGTTCAAGGTTTATCTTAAATATTTTTTGCTTTTAAAACTTTCATAACAAAGCTGAAATTCATTATTCAAATGTTTTTTAGGGAATGGTACAGTCGATTTTGATGAATTTGTAGCAATGATGTCTCGTTACTATTCGACTATGGATCCCGAGAAAGAAATGAGAGACGCATTCCGAGTATTCGATAAGGATGGTAATGGTTATATCAGTAAATCAGAATTGAAGTCAGTTATGCACAGTTTAGGTGAAAAACTAAATGACCAAGAAATTGAGGAAATGATCCGTGCTGCTGACGCTGATAAAGATGGTGCAATAAATTATTCAGGTATCTTGTATATTGTATTCAGACAATAATCCTAGTATAAAATTCATATGGTATAACAAGCAATGTATACTAAGACTAAGGAGTAGGAAATGCATATGTAAATTCAATTTATTCATTGATTGTATTCCATTGCACAAAGTGAAAAACAAGAAAGGAATTACTATCAATATTTGACACCACCAGCACCAACATGTTAAAAAAATAAAACCTAAAAGATAAAGATCAAATGATAATTTCATGTTAGTTAAATCAACTGTGTTAATTCAAAGAAGCTGTCATGTTTGCGATTACGATAACAATTAGGTTCGACGCTAAGTTTGTCGATTGTTTTAATTTGTTTAGCTCTGAAAAACTGCATGCTACATATCTATTATGGCATTATTTAATTTCTCTTTTAGAATTCGTCAAAATGGTATGTCAAACGAAGTGATGTTAAATGGCAAATTCTCTAAACTGTAACATATCTTACATATACTTATCATTCCCAAAGAACGACAAAAGTTTCCGATCAAGACACCATCTACCTAGCAAGATATCACCACCATTATGACCAGTAATTGGAACTAATAACTACATAGAAAACTGATATCCTTGTTCAGTGACAGTGACATTACTTAATCTTTATTGAATGTTGTCATGTTTATTTGTTGCGAGAAATGTATATTGAATGTATGCCAACTTCCTTTTACAATAAAGTCAAGGCTTGAACATACTTTGTATATCAAAATTTAAATCCTTGCACTACATGTTTCTCTTCAATCAAAATTTTCAACAAAACATTTTCATTGTACAATGAAGTGATATATGACTGGATGCACAACTTTATTTCAACTGTAATATACAATCATAAAAACAATAAATATAAGAGGCAAAAGACACCGTAGGAACAACCAAAATTTGGAGGAAAACCGGTCCCGACATATTTGTGGCAAAAAACGAAAAACGACGAAAACAGAAACAACAGTCTACATGGTTCATGTTTTATACATCTGTAAACATAACTCAATTCAAACAGTATTGTGTGACATTATAGATTGCTTAATAAATTGATACTATTTTTCATAATAAGTCAAACCTACGGTCAAACTGAAATTTACAAAATGTACACTTTCGTTAACGACTTTACAAAAGTATACACATTGAGATGTAAAGCCAGTGTTATAAAAATCACTAAAAGCAAGTTTTTGGGACATGTTGTATAGATGTAACTATAAAAATATAGGATATGATGCATGAGAATCAGGCTTCAAAGCATTATTCAATATATATATACAAGCTCAGATAAGCAGTCTGGGTCACCGATTTTATCTGGCTCTTTTTCGTACAAATTCTCGCCAAATTTGATTTATATATAATAATAAGCTGGTTTGCTGTTACAGGGTAAAATAAGCTAGCGTGTTTATCCATAAATTCATGAACATGTATAAATACTATAACTAGATATTGTCCAAAAATATAAAATGTATTTGTACAAGACTTACAAGATGGTAGAAAGCACGGCTTTGTCGAGCATTTCTATTATTTTTTAAGCTGAAAGTCCGTGAACCTACATTCTTTTACGACGTCATAGATGAAATCTTGCGGAAACAAATTATCAATGCTATAAACAAGCCTTTTACAGTCAGTGATTGTATAAAGCCAAAATTTATACGTGAATACATTTTGACTGCAAAAATAGCACAGATGCAGTATACAAAAGATATCCGCGTTGTGAGCCGATTGCATTTTAGGAAGTTCTAAATATGCATATGTAATTAGATTGATAAGTTAATCATTGATTTTTCCCAAAAGTTTGTAACAGTTGTTACAATGTTCTACAATATTGTTAACAAAAACTTTTTGGTAGCACGTACTTGTCTCGTCTAGTCTTTGTCTTCCAAGAAGGTGTTGGTACCAGATATTTTGTTGTATCTGTTTTTTTTTCCCGCAATATGTTGGAATGCTGTCTCGTTGACTTTTAACTATGGGTCTTCTTTTATTCATATAACTACTGTTCTTGAAACAATTGATCTAAAAAGGCGCATGTAATGTTAATCCGAAACTTTAAATATGCCATATTATATAATTATGTATATACATGTAAATGTAAGCAATAATGTTTACTGGTTTCATTGTATATAACCTTCTGGTAAACGAATGAATTCAAAATTGTGTTAAGGCAAATTATGGATTTCTAAATTTGTCTGTCATCATGTGTAAAGGTTTATGATCTAAATTAGTTTATCTGTTATCGGAATTAGTCTATCTATTATTCCTTAGTTTTTGCTATAACAATCATGCAATATTTCATTTTTGAATTTCCGATAACGCTGCTTGAACACTGCAACATGATGGCAATTTAGTTGTGAACCAGAGAAAGTTAAAATATTCTGAGAGTGTGAAGTCATCAATATCAGCACGACGTTAAACCAGTTTCTGACTATCGCTAACTTTTTCAATAATGGAATCTGTCGTTGAAGTAAAAGGTTTTAATGATAAAATTACAACACTTGTCAACACAATTTATTATTTACCATTTTCATGAATAATAACGTATGAATTTGTCTGACAAAATGACTTTACGCATGCTACAATTGGTTAACTGATATTATTTTTCAATATTTATATGTTAAATACGTTCATATGATATATTTGTGTCGTCGTCTTTCAGAAATTGGCGTCGGTCGTTCAAACTGTGTTAACTAGTAAGAAACAAACAAATCTTATTGAAATCATTATTAAGTAAATATAACGCGATTTCTTTTTTCGGAAGTGTTCTTTTTATAGTTTAAATACGATGATGGGTGGCTGCTTAACGTCCAGCGGCAAATTAATACAATGCATATTCAGGACGAGAACATTTTAATGTGTTATGAGTATTAAAACCTGCTTTGTACTAGACCGACACGCTGAGCCAAATTTAACATGCTAGTCCACAAGGTAACAGTCCGCAGGAAGACATCATTAAAGATTGCATATTTTGGCGTTAATATTGATTCACTTATAGGGTCTTTGCATCGGCACTAAACACATTTATTTAAAAACCAGTTGTTGGCATGACACGGGTTATGTTCTTCTCATATATGTTATGATGGTATGATACTAAACCCCTAACGGGAAGGATTGTGCCTGATATTCATATGATGAAGACATAATCTTTCAATAAGTTTAATTGAAGTCTGGAGCTGGCATGTCAGTTAACTGCTAGTAGTCTGTTGTTATTTATGTATTATTGTCATTTTGTTTATTTTCTTTGGTTACATCTTCTGACATCAGACTCGGACTTCTCTTGAACTGAATTTTAATGTGCGTATTGTTATGCGTTTACTTTTCTACATTGGCTAGAGGTATAGGGGGAGGGTTGAGATCTCATAAACATGTTTAACCCCGCCGCATTTTTTGCGCCTGTCCCAAGTCAGGAGCCTCTAGCCTTTGTTAGTCTTGTATTGTTTTTAATTTTAGTTTCTTGTGTACAATTTGGAGTTTAGTACGGCGTTCATTATCACTGAACTAGTATATATTTTTGTTTAGGGGCCAGCTGAAGGACGCCTCCGGGTGCGGGAATTTCTCGCTGCATTGAAGACCTGTTGGTGACCTTCTGCTGTTGTCTGTTCTATGGTCGGGTTGTTGTCTCTTTGACACATTCCCCATTTCCATTCTCAATTTTATGTCACGTTACCCTTACACATTTTTCTGACTCCGGGCCAACCAGTCTTTGCTCTTATTCTTTTATGCCGCGTGCTTAGCGGAGAAGCAGCAAACACCATTTTTAAAGTCTTTGGTTTGACCCGGCCTGGGTTCGAACACTCGAACCCCCGCACTCGAGGCGAACACGCTTCCACGAAACCACCGAGGCGTTTTTTTTTATAGTTTCACGAATATAAATATACACTTTTTTATTATAAAGTATAACTATGGGATTCCCAATACCTATTCGCAATATTCGAATATGCTGAACTTATATCTAGATACATCGAATAAACAGCAGACGTGGGTATACATCTAAGAGACAGCAACACAACCAGAAATAAAAAATTGCACACAGCTCTATAATACCGGTATTATAGATAAATAATAGTCAAGAGTTTTCGCAATTACTAATAAAAAATGTATGTATCCTTATACTGGAATATCGGCAGATGTACTATCGACTTAGTTTAATTAGTAATATTATGTATAGAACACGAAGACACAATATGTTGTGTACGTTCATGAAGAATATAACTTTGACATGCATAACACACACACGCACACACATATAGTATCCTTTTCATAACACTGTGGACGAGACCATTTTTGGCGCGCTCAACTCCCATTGACTGGGTTAAATTATATATGTGAACGTTCGTCTGTAACGCCCACTTATCACGTCGTATTTATTATAGACATTTTAACTGTGGGGGTTACCAAAGGTTTTCAACGCCGGACTAAAATAATTCGAAAAACTAGTACAGGAATAACCTTTGTGTTTTGATTAATATTGAATACTTGAACGTTCTTTCCTTGCGTTTTGTTTTAGGTTTTGATCGACAATTTCATTTTATTTATCGAAATGTGTAACAAGTGTTTATCTAAATCCCCAACTTGAGCTGTCAACGTATATTTGTTCCGCCTAACAGAAGTTCCACTGGAAACTTTGTTATAAACAATGTCATAATATCTGTTCCTGTTGGAACAAATATTCTATACCATTTATTCCGTTAGGAACATTTACTGTAATATTTATTCCAGTGGAAATAATATTCCAGAATATTGTTTCCATTTGGATCTTATATTATGAAGGAACTTCTATTCCGTGACAGAGGACCTCTTTCAAACTGCGTGAGCGTAAAATCATTGTTATCGATAGCCGACGACAAACAAGTTAAAGGTAAATGATTCAGTTGTATTAACAACAAAAGTACTACCTTTATCCACACTGTTACGGGAAAACCTCTATGTATATAGAGATAGAGAGAGAGAATTGAATCTTCTTGTTATTTATAGGTATCATTTCCTTTCCTCCAAAGTCGAGGTATGACGCTAATAAGAAATAACGGATTTCATTCTATGGTAATTTTCTATCGATCAGAAAAAATCAGCAACTGACCAAGGAAAAACTGTTATGTATGATAACTCACAAATAGTATTTTAACACCGGTTATACAATTACTTGCTTCTCCAATCATGTTGTCCTGTTTTTAGATTACTGGTATTTCAAGTACATACATGTATTCATAATGCTTAAATTGTTTCATTAGTGTTTACCAATATTTCTCTAAATATTTCTATTAATCCATGTATTTTGTAATACGTGTCGGAGTACTTTTGGTTGAAATCAACAAACCTCTTAGTTTCGTCCTTCTTTGCTTGCTTGTGTTTTCCAGGTAAATCTCGCCTGTGCCCAAAATCTTGTTAATTGGCTCCAATGGCTTAGCTTTCTGTACTCTCGGAAGTTAGCTGTTAGATATTGATTTCAAAATAATAATGGCAACCTAAGGCAATTTATTGTTTTGATCTTAAGAATTATGGTGCAGTTTGAATTTTAAAAATAAAAAATAAGCGGAAAATTTGGAAGAGTGTGCTTTCTTTCTCCCTATAGCCCATGCAGCGCACAGGTCTTGAACTTCCGAAAATTATGTAAACCTATTGCAAGAATATTACTACTAAACGGGTTAATACTTGCTATTTGCTTCAGGAACGATTACTTCTGCTTTACCAAAACAGATTTTGCTCATAGCTCAGAGCTTTTGT